TATATATATATATATATATATTATCTAGTTAATTAACCATAAATTTTTATTTAACTAATTATAAGTTGAGAATTCAGTTGAACTTTTATTAGGAGTGTGGATCATCTTCTTTTCCTAAGCCAAACATGTTCTTCGTAACTTCCTCTTACCAACAAATATTTGAAAGGATCATATCCATTAAGGTATTTAATTTGGTCCAATTCTTCCTTGAAATGAAGACGAGCGAAAGTGTCTTACGGTATGCCTTTTTTCATTACGGTGATTTCCGAGCCAGTTTGCATACATCAAAACTTAGATTAAAAAAAATCATCTAATGTTTGCCTCCGCAAATTAAGCCACGCCTTTAGATACCAATGATATGCTTTTTTGTTAGGGATGTCTTTAAAACATAATTGTCAAAGTTAAGATTGGGATTTCTAGGTACCGATCTAGCTAAACTAATTATCAACAAAATCTAACTTAATCTTGAGCATTAATTAGCACAAGTATCATATTGAATATTAGGAAATGAGTAGAGATGTTATTCTATAAGTCTAGTCTGTTTCCTAACGTAACGAATTCCCAACTAATATTTGGAATGTGGATCGTCTCCTTATCTATAATAACAATAAAATTATACTTTTCACCTATAAAAGTTTAGTTGATATGGTATTTCTAATGTAAATTAATATATATGCTATGGAAAATCAACTTTAATTGTACAAAATCAAGAGGTAATTGACTAAATGTTGATAAAGATTAAAACAAAATCTTGCTCACATCATACATGAACCTTGGTATTTTGATTTGCAGTTTCACGTCTAACTCCAGAATATTGCAGTTTATTAAATACACCTTTTTGGAAAAGTATTTAGCAAAAGACTCAGAATAAAAGAATAAAAAGTTCGATTTAAGTTTTATCGATTACAAGTAATTACTAAGAATGTTATCTCTACTAGAGGGTTTACATATATAAGAGTTCTTTGAAGTGAAATCTAAATGTTGGAAATATATGATGATGGGTAATTTGCAGTTACTCTCCTCCAAGTCTATTTTTGACAAAGTTTGCTGTTTCACTTTAGAAATATCCCTCTGCCTTCACTCTAGAAATATCCCTACCTGCAGAAAATTAGAACTATATCCAATTCTGGGAATACAAATGGATGATTATAGTGAACTAGAAGACCTTCCACCAAAACCCCCCGACATTAACTTATTCCAAACCAACCAAAATACTTCTTTCAAAGAAAAACTTTTGTCCAATGAAAATGAAAGGAATCTCTCCATATTCCAGTCACCCCCACATTTACTGCCTATGGCAGTTGATACAAACGAGGAGGAAGGAGAAACATTTCAAGAAAACAAAAAGGATGAATACACATTTCCAATAACTGGGAAAGACAAACAGCGTATTTACTATCCTTGGAGATACTCTGTAATAATCCAACTTCAGGGGAAAAAAATTCCCATCAAATACTCAAAAGAAAACTGACAGATATCTGGAAACCAACAGAGAACTTTCCTCTGATTGATCTTGGTGAAGATTACTTCACAATTAAATTTAACAAAGAGGAAAATATGATTAATGCACTGCAAAATGGTCCATGGTTCATCTTTGGACATTTCTTATCAGTTCAACGTTGGAAGCCAAACTTTGTCCCATCAAAAGCCAAACAATCCTATACAACAGTTTGGGTACGGCTTTCACAACTTCCAACTGAATTTTATGACAAAAAAATCTTGGAAAAAGTAGGCAGTGGATGCTTGCATATCCACTGCCCTGCGAGGCCGTTATGCAAGGCTCTGTGTGAAACTGCCATTGAATAAAGCAGTCAAATCCAAAGTGTGGATAGGATCACATAACCAAGAAATC